CCCCAAAACCCCAAAACCCCAAAACCCCAAAACCCCTGAAAATCTTTTATAACTGAAATATTTTAAAATGGAGTTTAACGGTAATTTATACCTCTCATATTTAGACTGTGAAGTTCTCAGAGTCATTAAGGCTTATCCAGCTATCTTAGGATGCTTGAAGGCCGATTTAAGTAAAATGATCGAAATTCATAATAAAAATTATCCTAGCCAAGAAGAAGATCATCAGAAGCAAAATTTAGGAAATAAAGAAAATATATCAAGGAAGGCTGAGATTAGAGATCTTGGTAGCATTAGCGCCAAGAATCCTAATCTAAGCTCCTAGTAATATGTCAAAGAGTAGTTCAAGGTAAGCCGAGCATTGCTCCAATAATGTTCTGTAAAATTCCATAAGTGCCAACATGAAACTCTAAAACGGACGTTTAAGATTCCTTAATGAGTAATACTGACGATCTTTTGTAGAGAAGAGAGTGCTGGAAGGCGGATCCTTCTAGACTCCAATTTTGTCAAAAGTAAAGCCTCAGGTCAGAGATTAGACACCGAAGAATCGAATCATAGTAATTTTTCTAGGCAAAGCCTGAAAAATCGAGACTTTGCTCCGATGTTTGACACTTTTAATGGTACATAATCTCTTTATTCTATAGAAGGAGAGACCAGCATGAAGCTTAGAGAAATTAGCAATGAAGGATCTCTTGACTTAGAAGCTCAGATCATGAATCATATTGATAATCTCTCTCAGGGCTTCAAGTCTCTTATACTTCATTTGGACATGCGCAGCATGTCCAAATCTTTAGAAGAAGTTCCTGAAGAGACTTTAAAAGTGAGAATAAAGAGCTTGATCTATGAATACGAACAAAAAATTCAGGAGATAGACAAATACAGAACTGCCAACAGGGAGTTTTGCAAAGACTTCTCCTCAACTAACCTGTTCTCTGATTTTGCCAAGACCACTCAGTCTATTATCAGGTACAATGAATCTGCTGATGACTCAAAGATGACAAGTAATTTTGGAATTGAGGACTCTCAGAATGAATCTCAGAACCCAGAAGATCATCATAATCAAGGTAGTTTCTGACATAATTATATCTAGTTGTTGAAACCATCACTTCTGAGATGAATAGTTCATTATTCAGGAAGATCTATTTGCCTGGCCAAAGGTATGTCGGTCTTAAACATCTTTTAGAGATGAAAGCTCAGAAGAAAGCAAGAGAGTCACCAAACCTCAGTCTTACTCCATCATCAAGGGAGGTCCTAAAGTATCTATCTTACTATTTTTAGGACAAGAAAATCATAACCAGCACCGGGGGACCAACTGAAGAGGACTCTCCTCAAAGTCTCAGCCAGCTTAAAATAAAAATGCTTCGACTAGAGAACGAGCTGCAGCTTCGTAATAAACAGATGAAGTCACTTTCAAGTGAAAACAATGCATGTGTAAATAAACTAATGGATGCCAGCAAACTAATCGATGATTTATCATCCAAATACCATGATGTAAATTTGGAAAATAATCGTCTAACCCAACAATTGACAGATTTAGAGTCCTGCAAAAAGGAAGATAGGGGTATTCAAACCTCAACTAGCCGGTATGGCTATGAAGACCTCCATGAAGAGAAGCAAAAGTTGTCTCTAAATTATTCCTCAACACAGAAGGATCTTGGATTCTTTCTCACACCTAATAATTCTGACAACGATGAGGTTCTTATTGGCCCAGACTCTCCTGCAAATCAAGCCCGATGTGTGCTAAATCAGGAAAACCCCCACAAGGCTAGTCAAGACAGTTATGAAGAGAGCAAAGAGTACCAAGAAAACCGGTGAAAATCATACGAAAGTAGCAAGACTAATATCTTCAAAACAGACTTGTCTGTCTCAAAGACATATCTTGGCTCTTCCTCATGAAAATCATTTGAAGAGATCATTAAGAGCCAAAAGGATGATATAGAGTATCTGAAGAATCTGGCCAGAACTTTACTGTACAAATAACATTGGCCGCATTAAGGACGCAAGGGAAGCAATCGGAGTTATCATCGATTTCTTACAAAACATGGACACAATGAACTTGAAGGACCTGTCGGAATACATCGCCAGGTTCTATGATGTCGCCTTTGGAGATAAGTACCAGTAAGCTTTGGTTGTTACCACTATAGATACTTTATAACCAAACTAGACTATCTCAAGTCTGAGATAGAAGAAATCAAGTCATTAAACAACAAAAAGATTCTTTAGGTCACAATTTTCAATTTTATCCTAAACTTTTGGGGTTTTGGGGTTTTGGGGTTTTGGGGTTTTGGGG